TAAAAAAGTGAAGGCCCCTTCCAACCCACTCCCTAAAGGTAACCAAATTATACATTGGTAAAAATAGTTTGTGAATTGTTTGATTTTTTTAAATTTAAATTCTTTATTGTTTAAAGAATTACACAAGTCTCCTTTTATTTGATTTATTCTTAACAATAAATTTTCATGTCAAAATATATGGATCTACCTCATTTTAATTACTATATAATATTTCACAAAAATAATATACTGTACTATATTTAATTATTCCTCTTTTATTGGGCATTTCAGTCCTCCCCCCCCCCTCAAATATGTCATTATAACAAGTAGTATTGCAATACTTCTACACATATCCTAGCAGTGTATTTAAATTTAAAAGAAAAAAATTCAATCAGTAGAATGCCCTTTTTTCCCCCCTAAGTGACAGATCTCAAATATTTCATCATGCTCCTTAATCAGCACATGGTTCTTAATATGATTGACAGTATGTTTGGCTCATGGTAGAAAAAGTATTGGTTCAGAATAATATGAGGCACTATCTTTCATAATCTCTGAGCATTTTGCTAAGGGAAGTTCGAGAGCTCTACCAGAGACCTCTGCTTCATCTGCACTCAGCAATTCCTTTTCACTTTCTACCTACCTAGCTGCGTGACACAAAGGCCTGTAATTAAAGGACCAATAAAATCTCACTATGACATAGTGTATCACTCTGAAGATCAGGGAGTGACTCAGATTGCTTGACTTCTATGCCATTCTTTCCCAAGAAACACTAATGATAAACACTGTGAGTGAAATGCATATATTTCCAGATGACATTTAACAAAATTATGAAAGTAATGAATATTTATTAGAGAACATTTGAAAAGAATTTAAAAATTAGCCAAAATCCAAGGCTGCTTCAAGAAAGCCTCTGCTATCTTAGGGAGTTGAGCCAGATGCAGCAGTTTTCGAATCTTGTTCCATGGAGACGTTTCCAGGGCTCTCCAGGGAAAGGGTGAAGAAGTAGGAGGAGCTTGCAGCCCTCGCCTCTCTCTTCCTCCAGAAAAATGCTTTGCCTGTTTTCTCCTGTTCCATGTGAGATTTCATTTGAATAAATGATTGCTGGTTTTAAAAAAAATAAAATAAAAATTATATATATATGTATATATATATATATATATATATATATATATTTCTTATTGATTTTAGAGAGGAAGAGAGAGGGAGAGAGAGATAGAAATATCAATAATGAGAGAGAATCATTGATTGGCTGCCTCCTGCACACCCCACACTGGGGATCAAGCCTGCAACCTGGGCAAGTGCCCTGACTGGGAATCAATCATTGATCGGCTGCCTCTTGCACACCCCACACTGGGGATTGAGCCCACAACCCAGGCATGTGCCCTGACCAGGAATTGAACTGTGATCTCCTAGTTCATAGGTCAACACTCAACCACTGAACCATGCCGGCAGATTGATTGCTGTTTTTTAAAATAGCTTTTCATTGTAGAAATTTTCAACAGCACACAAAAATAGTAAGAATAACATAATGAATTCCCAGACTTCACCAATGACTATTTGTCATTTTTATTTCCCCCCTCTCCTCCACTTTTTCTTTTTTTATTATTATTTAAGAGACAAAGGGAGAGGAGAGAGAGAAACATCAATAATGAGAGAGAATTATTGATCAGCTGCCTCCTGGCCCCCTATTGGGGATCGACCCCACAACCCGGCGTATGTCTTTGACTGGAATCGAACCTGGGACCTTTCAGTCCGCAGGCTGCCGCTCTCTCCGCCGACCCAAACTGGTTAGGGCTTTGTGTGGTTTTTTAAATCTCGAATACTTTAAAACAAATCATAGACATCCAGTCATTTCACCTTTAAATCATCTAGTTTGTTTCTCTGAGAAAGACACCTCCATTTAAAAATATATATAATTACCATTTCTTAGTCCCATGTAACAAAATTAATAATGATTCCTTAATACCAACTAATACTCAGTCCATATTCAGATTTTCCTGATAGTTCAGAGCAGCCGTGGGCAAACTACGGCCCGCGGGCTGGATCCGGCCTGTTTGAAATGAATAAAACTAAAAAAAGAAAAGACTGTACCCTTTTATGTAATGATGTTTACTTTGAATTTATATTAGTTCACACAAACACTCCATCCATGCTTTTGTTCTGGCTCTCCGGTCCAGTTTAAGAACCCAGTGTGGCCCTCGAGTCAAAACGTTTGCCCACTCCTGGTTCAGAAGTATCTTTTTACATTTTGCATCAGAGACTGAACAAAGTCCATATGTTACATTCTGTTGTGTCTACTAAGTCACTATAGTCTCTTCCTACCCTTACTATGACATTGAAGTTTTTGGCCAATGCAGTTTTTTGAATTCCCAATCTGTTTCTCATTGATTTGTGATGCTTCCTATATTACATTATAATTTACATATTATAAAGTCAGTTCTGGTCCATCAAATCTGTGCCTAGTTTATGTTATAATGGCCTCATAAAAGTTAATTTTTTATTTCAGAAGAGATTTTATTACCTAGAAGGGCGTTTTAGAGCTCAGTCTACTATTCTGAAATCTATTTTTATTAAATGTTCTAATCTATCTATTTTTCCAGATGCTACTTTAAACCCTTTTAACTCTCTAAAGGTGTTTTGAAATCCAAAGGTTTGAGTCACAGGCTCTCACCAGACCTAAAAGGCTTACATAAACCAAAAATTTCTGCAGTAATGTATTATTTTCAATTCTTCTGCACATCAAATTTTTCTGAAAACAAATGTAGAAAACAAATCTACACAATACCTTCATTTAGTTCAAAAGTTAATTTGAGAAAATAAATTGTTTTCCAGTAAACAGCCTGGTCATAATGCGAAGGAAAGAAATGCCATGAAAGAGGAGTGGGTTGTGGTTTGAGCAACAGATGAGAATATTTTTCTCTGCTCATTGTGAATGGCATCCAGGGGAAAAGTGAGAAGATGGGAAGCTAGAGATAAGAGGGTTATGAAATCACGGTAAAAGGTCAAAAATACTTTATTCAGTTAGTAATCTTGATCAAGAAGGAACAGAAGAGGAAGGACAGGCAAGGAGTTAAGCTTATGTATTTTTATTCATGCTCTGAAATATTCTTTTCTTTGCAATCCAGGGCCATGTCAGAGAGAACTTTATTTTATTTATTTATTTATTTATTTATTTATTTATTTATTTA